AGTGCATTCTACAGTAAAGTCAAATTTATTTTCTAAAAATGTGTGAAAGTCCAACTGGGAAGTTGTTTTCGGGACGGAGGGAGTATATAAATATATATAGTACATATAGCCATATAGGTACCCTTTTAGAATTTGGTGGTGTTCCGGGATCCGTGGGGACCTTAGTGGGTCCGCCACTGCATGTACATTGTGAAAACATTCCAAACTAATGAAATTCTAAAATTAATTTAGAATTTTACGTATAAATATGTTTCCTTTTAAGGACTATATGTATGAATAATACGGAGTATATTTTTTTCTTTTTCTGCCCATATTCACAACTATACATTTCAATTGTATTAATAATGTGACAATTCAAAGTTAGAAATACGTGGTTCACAATATTTCACTTTATTATATTCAAATTTCAAACAAAAGGAGACACATAAAATGGGACAAAAGGGTAATAGATATTTCAGAGTGTCCACAAACATTTCCGAGGAGGTTATTGGATATTTTCATCTTCTTTGAGAATAGAACATCCCCGAGGAGGCGTTATATCCTATGTAGCACAGATACCGGTACGCGGAAACGCGGAAACGCGGAAGCGGGTACGGGGATACGTCAAAACAAAAAAAAGTAGGATACGGATACGGGGCCATATTTATTAATATTAAAAGTTATGGGGGTGTATTTACAAATATTAAAAGTTATAGGGGTCTATTTATAAATATTAAAAATAGTTTTTTTTTTGAATATATATATATACATATATATATATATATATATATATATATATATATATATATACACATACATATAATGTGCTATGATGTCTACCCATTCATTGCATTGAAACATTTTCCTTTTTCAAGATACTTAGTAATAAATTCATAATATTTCTCATAAATGTAGTCAATAAGTCATTAATTTAAAATGAGAAATAAGTCAAACAACTACAATCTTGAAATTAAAAGTGCAAGTACCCAATTCGGAGTATGAGTTAATGACTTAATTCGGATATAGCCATATAGGCCCATTATTTGATTACCAAGTAAAATGTAGTTTTGGATTTTCATTTTTCTATAATTTTATTAAATAATTTTTGGGATTTAAAAAAAAAAGTTGATACGGGTATCCGTCAGGATACGAGTATCAGAAACTTTCAAAAAATTACAAAAAAAAAGTGGAAACTTTTAAAAATTGCAGATACGACCCGGGAACGTACGGTACGGGTATCCTAGAGTATCGGATACGGGAACGTATCGGATACGCCGATACGCTACCCTAGGGAAGTATCCGTGGTTCATAGGTTATATCTAAACGAGTCGTAAAAAATGGGCCTCTCCCTGTCCAAACGAGTCGTAAACACCCTCCAAACGTCGCCGGAGTTCGACTCTGCCTGCACCGCCGTATTCGCCGACTGTCTCAGCCTAAGTCAGCAGGCCTTCGCCGGAGTCAGACCCTACCAGCTCTTCTCCGCCACCGAACGCCTCCACGCCATCCTCTTTCATACCGTCCCATTAGTTTCCAGGTGGGTCCCTAACCCTCCCGGCCGGATCCAAGTGGACCAAGCTCTCAAGGCCGTCATCTCCCGCCGTACGGGCGGAGAAGAGGAAATCACATTGGACGAGGCGCAGTTCAAGGAATTCGAGGTGGAGGTGTTTGCCGAGGCCGTCGTTTCAACGGCGGGGAAGGAGGTTTTGAAGAGCGTGCCGCTCGGTGTTGTGGGGATTGCGGGCTTTGGCGCAGTCGTGAAGCCGGGGAAGGATCTTGTTGCGGCGGCGATTGGGGCTTACGCGCTTGGTGTCGTGACTTCAATTTATTTCAGTTTGGGAAAATAGCTTGTTTAAGTCATTTCAATTTTATTTTATTGAAATGAAATATGGTCTCTTGTTTTGTCCAGACCACCACATGGTTCAATATTTATCCATTCATAAGTCTGGTCATTTATCCTTTCAAAAAAAAGTCTGGTCATTTGATAAAATATTTTAGTCAGGAGTTTTTTCTTTAATATTTCAAAGTACTATCTTAAAGTAGATTTAAATAAGTGATTACTTTTATATATGGAAAAAACATGATTAAAAGGTAAAAAAATGGAAAATCATAATATCACTATCAACTTATAAATCACTATTCACTAACTTAATACTCCGTATATTACTAAGAGTTTTGGTAATATTACTCTTGCTACCACTTGAAATATATAATTGTAGCCGCTACATAATAATTTTTCTAACAATCTTATTTGGGGAAATTCAAAATGAAATGCAAGAAAACTCTGGTGATATTTTTTTATAGCCGACGATGGCAAATGTTTTAGAGCCAATAGTGGGGACAACAAAAAAAAAGGATGACACCCCATCCCTGAGGACCCCCAACACTAACCGGACGGCACGATGGAAGGATGTAAATTGGATTATAATCACAATTTGACAGATAGAGAGTGAAGTTCTGTTCCCGGTACTTGCACAAGTCCTATGCATTTTTCAGCATATTAACCCTCATCGCAGTTTGTTGAGTAGGAATTAAGATTAAAGGAAATATATTAATTAAACAAAATTTATTGACATTCTTAGAAACAAGCTACGTCATATTTTTCTTCCAAAAGTGTAGAGGCAGTGTTCTAAAAGGCCCCTAAAGGCGCCGCAATGGCGGGCCTAAGCGTGAGGCGCGAGTGAAACGCCTTGCATAGCCCTTAGGCGTGACAAAAAGGCGGGAAAAAATTTTCAAGCCTTAAATTTTAACTCGCACATGACGTTGTGAAGCTCACAAGGCATGGCTTGTGAATAAGCACGGTAGAAGGAGTAATTTATAAGCGTCTCTCAAGTGGAACTCTCCTTATCCCACTGGTGTGGGAAAGTTTATGCTTACGAAATTGATACTCCGTACAAAGCTCTTCTTTGCCCACTGGCCTCACCAGATGTTATGCTCCGTATCAACCATTACTTTTATTATTTTTATAATTAAATTAAATATGTACTATACTAAAAAGCATTATATACTCCATACTCTGTATTATATTGTTGTTAATATATTATTATAATATTGTATTATTCTCATTACCAAAATCTTTAAATTTATCATTTTTATTTGAGATTTTATTCAAAGTATTTGTTGAGTTTAATCCAACATGATATAGTAAATATATGTATAAATGTGTATGAACAACTCAGTTTTTACGTGGAAACCCGAAAGGGAAAAAACCACGGGACTTTTTAGGCTAATGTCCAAGCCCTCTCTTTCTCATTAGGACTCTCCTCACAATTACATTGTACAAGCTCCCATTAATGGAGTATTGAGCTAAGTCTAAAAGAAAGGAAGGAGATGAAGCTAAAAACCATCCACAATATGGAGGGAAACTCCCATATTTATAAAGAATAGGGGAAGGGGATGCTCTCCACCCTAATGGGCCGCATGGGCCGGAGTGGGCCCAAATGGCTAAAGTGTGCCGGATGGGCCGAAATGGGCCTAACTGCTCGGGCTCCGTACTGAGTAAGGTCTTGGGCTCCTGAACAGTAATACGCCGGGATAATATATCCCAACAGTATTATAGAGTACTGTTTTAAATTCAGTGAACAAAAAGTGTGTCTAATAAAGGTAAGTATAATTTTATGGTCACTAAAATATAAATTTAGAATATAATTATAATCTTTAAAAGTTACTGATGAATCACATTTGTGTCCAATATCCTTATTTTGGTTATATGACGTATTATTCCTTTTTGTTGTTATTAATATTATCATTCAATGCATTTTTCTAGTTCTGATTTTTGTGTAACTGGTAAATATATTTGCAAGATACAGTACTCAAAATATCTTTTTTGTTGGAATAAATAGTATGATGTTTTTAAATAAAATTATTTAATATTCAATCTAAATATTCAAAAATAACTCTAGGGAAATTAAAATAAAGGATAAAAACTCAAAATGCCTTTTCCCGCTTCAACCCCGCCTAAGCCCGCCTAGGCTTCAAAGGCTTAAGGCTTGGCCTTGCCGCCTCAGCGCGCCTTACGCCTTTTAGAACATTGTGTAGAGGTATAAATGCTTTATTTTAAAAACTACTCCCGCCATCCCTTTTAAATGTCCCGGAAGAGGGTGACATGAGTTTTAAGAAAGTGAGTTTTTGTACTTGGTAGTAATTGATAAAGTAAGAATAAAGTAAGAATAATTTTGAACCACACAAACTTTACCAAATAAGGCACTACCTCTGTCCCATTTTATGTGTCTTAGTTTGACTTGACACGATTATTAATGAAGTGATTGAAAAGGTAAAAGTTGTAGTTGATGTTTGAGTAGAATAAAGTGAAATGATGTAGACCACATATTTCTTTCCAAAAAAGGAAAGGGGACACTTATTTTGGGACAATCCAAAAAGGAAAGTAGGACGGGTAAAATGGGACAGAAGTAGTATGAAACAATTAAATAGAGACATCTCAATATAATAAAACGGAACATTTAAAAGGGGACGGAGGGTAGTACTTACTACGCAATTGATTTTTGGGTATAAATGCATTATTTTTAGAAAATAACCATTATTGCTCATATTTTCCATATATTACAAAAAAACACATCCATCATTTTATATTCTCATCTTAGTATTGAACACGTAGACACTTTTTACAAACATGTGTGCGTTATTTTAAATAAATTATAGAGTAGAAACTAGACACTTTTTAGAAACATGCGTGCGTTTTTTTCGATAAATTATGGCATGACCAAAGGCGAAGTGATATGTATCAGGTATGTAGCTGGGATGATTCAAATAAAAGACCTCTTCTCATGCAAAGTGAGAATAAATCTTGTGCATTTATTTCCAAATCTAATGATTCAAAATGAGCCAAAAATGCACAAAATTCGGCCAAAATCGCGGTGACACTTTCCTAAATATGTTCGCACAAAATATGAAACACGAAAAAGTGCATATCTTTGCACTTTGCACGGGAAGAGGTCTTTTTATTTGAACTCTTTCCTGTATGTAACTATGCATATTTAATTTATGTATGTTTGCACATCATAGTTGCTAAATGAATGCTTTCTACTTTTTTTTCAAAACAAGTTGGGGATATAGGGACTTTTTTTCAACTTCTGTTCGGTGGTGAGACAAAGTTGGGGGTTGCAATGTTCGTTCCCTCAGGTTTACATGAAATTGCTTCTGGATATTAAAAAAAAAAATGAATGGGGAGTAGCGCCATGCGATGAGTAAATGCCGAATGACCTTACTCCTCGTCCTCGAGTCCGGGAATGTACTCTAGACTCACATCGAAGATAACTGGGCTGCTCGGAGGCACACGTGGCCTTCCCGGAGCTGATGTCAGACCCTTCGGAAATGCCAGCTATAAAAAAGAGGATAAAAGTTGGTATCAGCATAAATAAATTCACTAACACCCTAGTGTTAGTCGATTAGCCAGAGGAACTATAACAAGTGTTTTGCTTCCAGAGAAAGATCCTTAAGTTGACAACCTGGCTCTAACTATAACAAGCAAGGGATTCACTTAATCATAGGGCAACAGTGTTGTTTAACGACCTTAGGGATATCATTTAAGAAACTTGAGAAATATTCTTGATGATTTTCACAAACTAATTAAACCATTGATAAATATTCTCTATGCTTTGCAGTTAGCACTACAACTACAAATATTTCAACTAAGAATCCTCTTTCACAGAAAATTGTCTAATTCTTGAAAATTGCATAGAAAGTTTCATGATCATTAATGGTGGAAAGGGTCAATTGAGTACATTAACTTGTATGAGGTGGAGTAAAGAGCACACTATATTGCATCTAATATTTCCAAGTACACAAACTCGGTTTTTTAGTGTTAATTGAGTACACCCATTAGATTAACACGTTAATACGTCTGAGTTGGATAATAGGTAGACGTTATGAAGGTTAACGCCAGCCCCCAGCCACATTGTCGACTTTCCCTTGGTCGACGTCAGTCCCCCACAAATCGAATTCCCCTTGATCGATGCACCCCGTAGGTCGACGCCCCCCGCAGGTCGACCTCTGAAGGTCAACTTTCCCTTTTTGGTCGACTTCCTGAAGCTTAATCTAACGAGTGTACTCAATTAACACTAAAAAACTGACTTCGTGTACTTACGAATGTCAAATGCAACATAGTGTACTATTTACTCTACCTCTTGCAAGTTCACGTACTCAACCAACCCTTTCTCATCATTAATGTCTAAACTAAAGGACCTGATTATTTTGTCAACTTATCTAGTCTGAACTGTGTAAGCCTTGTCTATTTGTTCTCGTATGCGTTTAAGTCGGGCTTTCTATATCTTTTCTGATATGTCTGTGTCTTGTTCAAGTCTAGTTTATCCTGGCGTGGTCTATTTCTGTTTGATATTATGTATTACGTATATTATGTTGTTTTATTATTACTACTTATTATTTAACTTTGGTCTAGTTTGAGACTTAAACAAGTCCCAGTGAACAAATTCATATTCTTAGGAGTTATGGTTACATTTGCCGTACAATAGTAATTACTTCCTCCGTCCCTTAAAACTTTGCTAACTTTCCTTTTTTGGATGTCCCACTAACTTTGCCACTTTCCCTTTTAAGTAATGAATTTGTGGTTCCAGTTAATTCTCTCTCCTCTGCACAAACCTCAACCACACAGTTTTTACTTTATTAATCCCCGTGCTGGTCAAACATGGCAAAGTTATAAGGGACGGAGGTAGTATAATGGTAATAATAATAATAATAGTAGTAGTAGTAATAATAATAATAATGACATAAATGCATTATCTGAAAACAGAAGAAAGTTGGATAATCTTAACTGGTCCGGGGATGTAGAGGCGGCGTTTTCCTCCGACTTTCATGCTGAGGATCCCTTCGTCTAGCCCCTTGATGACCTATACACAGCACAAATTGATGGATATTGTGGTAAAATGGAATACATTCATTAAGTTCTGAAGACATTTTTCATTGATTACTATTTGAAGTGAATTACAGTATTTCACACATTCTAATTTCAATTATGGAATTTATAATAGTACAAAATGCAACAAGCCAACAAGCATTTTAGGAACACTCTTCCGAAATGTCAAACTATATACGAAGGAAAGACAGGAAGAAAAGTGTGAAATGTGAATGCAAACACTGATAATCTCACCTGACCAGAGCCGACCCGGAAAATGTAAACTTGCCTCTTCTCCAGTGAACTATGAATTCATAAACATTTTAAGAATCACGAAAAGGATGTGGGACTAGGAAAATGAAATGACTTGCATACATATTTTTCATGCTTATCCATTGCACATCTTGAATAATATACATATAGTGCTACTTTTATTGACATAACTCTGAACTTGCAACTACATAATTCCTAGAGACTTTTACAATGCTTAAATCGAGAATAATGTACCTAAACCCCATCAGAATAGGAAACTTAAACCTTAAACCTAAAGGAAATCATATAACTCTAACGCTTAGAGCTACTAAGAAAAGGTAACTGCAATACTATCAAAATGCAGCCATGACATAACAATTAAATTACTATTTCTATAATTTGAAGGCACATGTGAAAAACTCAGGTTAGGGTGTTGAATGCGGCATGAAGAATAATGATTTTACACAGACGTTGGAACAAATATTTATGTAAATAATCATTACCTGTCAAATATTTGGCCAGATGGAACCATTGCAACATAATTTGCAGCTACCTGTTCAGATAGAGTTAATATCTTAGGGAGAGAGAGGCCCCATTCAAACATTGGGGTTTTGAGACTGCATTTATTACTACGGAAAAGCAAAGCAAATAAAAAATGAGAAATTATAATCCATAAAGTTCTATCGTTCAATATCAACCTCATATATAGCTATGGCTGAAAACCCCAGAGGGAGAACAGGCTGTTGAACTTACACGATAGCACTACCCAACACAGTTAAACAAAGTACAATACTATGGCCTAAACCTAAACACAACCTGATAACATGAATTCCTACTGGCTACTGGTAGGTAAACCCGCTTCTCTTTTCATTCTTTAAAACAACTATTCTTTAAAAAATAGGCCTGAGCTATACTTGAAAACAACTATTGATGGTTTATTGTAATGATTAAGAAGAACCCAGTAAATATGCTACTTGAAAATTAAGTACTCCTAACTTACATGGTAGTTTGATACTTTGATGATTTTACTTTCCAGTTCAAACATTTAGATTTTGAGACTGCATTTATCACTGTGGAAAAGTAAAGCAAAACAAAAATGGGAAATGTTTATCCCTACAGTTTTGTCAATCTTTCATTATCAACCATGTAATTCACATGGCAGTTATCACATGTAACTTTTCAGTTATAGCTCACAAATATAATGCAAATTATACCATATGTGCATATGTTCAGGATACTTACAACTAGTAGCATTTTAGTGTAATTTTTAATGGTTGCTAATTTTTCATCTAAAATGCTCATATTCTTATAAGCCTGCTCGTGTTCATGTTTTTTATTATTCTGATTATTGCCTCTAAAGTATGCTTATTTGAACATAACAGTTACCAATTTTCCTCAAAAGGATGCTAGATTGCTAGGTGTATGATAACCATGAATCCATGATATATCCTGATGAATCATCTACTGACTGCAGATATATAAGGTGTAAATTAATTCTTGAGGGAGAAGGGGATAACCTTAACCTAAATGGGGGTGGGCTAAATGGAAAAAATGAAAAAGACTATCCCAAAATAGTCAAGAAAAATGTAGTTTGTCCTGTTCATCTCACCATAGCCCTAATGTATATCCGCCAGTGCATTCGAATTTTGGGATGTATCTCATGATTGCAATTACTCTACAGCTTAAAATGAAACCAACCCATCATTTGGTTTTGCAAGTTCTCATACGATGCTTCCATAGTTCCATTACATGGACATATGCACAGATTTTACTTGCAAGATGAAAATAAGGATATATATGGCTTCACTAAAAATCTATTTAACATCACAGATTTTACTTGCAAGATGAGAATAAGGATCATAGTAGTCAATGGCTAGATATGGCACGCGCCATATGCGCTTTATGCGCCATCCATATATGCGCCATCGCCATGCGCCATGAAAAATGCCTTTGAGCCATGACGATCGCCGTGCGCCATGACCACTATGATAAGGATGATATTTGGCTTCAATAAAAATCTACTCCCTCCGTCCCCGAAAGAAGTTCTCACTTTCCTTATTTGGATGTCCCTAATTTAAGTTCCCATTTCCTTAAATGGAAAGTTATCTATATCAAAACAGTGCAAAACAGTGCCAAACAGTGTCGAAACAGTGTCAAAACAGTAAAATTTACCCCCTGGTAAGTTTACTTGCATAAAAGTGTGTGAAAGTCAAATGGGGAACTTATTTCGGGGACGGAGGGAGTAATTAACAGCAGTTCATGACCATTTATAAGTGCTATGTACCTACCTGAAATCCAATAGGAGGACTAGGTCCTCGGCCAACTTTAATATCCTTGTATTGCAACCCAGACTCAGTAGTTACCATGGGTACCTTAAAAAGTCAAAAATATTTACAGTCACAACATATCATAGATTCAAGATTCTTTAACTTGATGAGCTCACCTATAACCGCCTAATGGATTTTTTTCTAGAGTAAAGAGCAAATTCTCAAATAGTTAATCACAGTCTCATACAAAATTGTTGACTACTATTTTACCAGCTCATTCTAATGATAGTGTGTACGAAGAAAACTATTATTTCTATTAAGGAAACTGTATAAAGTTTATGATGATAATCAATGTTCTAAAAGGCACTAGGCGGGCGCCAGCCCAGCGCCTAGGCGGCTAGGCAGGCGCCTAGTCGGGGGACTAGTCGGAGACATAGAAATTGCATTTTTATCTATATTTTTGCATAAATATGATAAGTAATATTGTATTTTTTGTGTATAAAATACATATACATTAACAAACATGAAAGATAGAATTCTCACATTTTATCATACGTAGTATATGATAACTAATCATTTAACTTCATTATAGTATAAATATAATTAATGATAAAATTTAGGTATATATACAAACATAGAGTAGTCTTCATGTCAAGCCGGCCTGACGGGATGCTCCGTCCGGCCGAGGGAATTTCGGGCACTTCCCCGTGGAATTTTTTGATGAAATGTTTTGAGCATGTTCTTCATGAAGTCTAGTTTATCCATACCAAATTTCAGCTAAAAATTCAACCGGGAAGGCACTCAAATAATTTCTTGAAGTTAACTGGGCAGTTTATATGTATGAACTGCCCAGTTAACTTCAAGAAATTATTTGAGTGCTTTCCTGATTGAATTTTTAGCTGAAATTTGGTATGGATAAACTAGACTTCATGAAGAACATGCTCAAAACATTTCATCAAAAAATTCCACCGGGAAGTGACCGAAATGCCCTCGGCCGGACGGAGCATCCCGTCAGGCCAGCCTGACATGAAGATTTGTCTACAAACATATATAGTTTTATCTTAATTTAAAACTTCATTTCTTTGTAGAATATTACAATTAAAAAGTAAATTAATGTTCAGCAAATCAAGACGGCCTAGGCGGCCGATTAGGCGCTCTAGGCGGGCAACTAGGCGCCATAGGCGGGCAACTAGGCGCCATAGGCGGCCGACTAATTCATCTAGACGGCAAACCAATTAGTCGGGGCGCCTAGACGAAAATCGGGGCGCCCGACCACCGCCTAGCGCCCAGGAGGGGACTAGTCGGGCACCTAGAACGATTTTTAGAACAGAGATGATAATTAAATGGCTAGATCAATGAGTTTATACTAATTTATCATTTTATATCATTAAAAAAAGGTAAAGCAATGTTTTCTTAAGATGAAAAACCCCTCCTTCTGCCAAACAAGACCTTTGGAAAAGGGTGTCTAGCCTTTTACCAGCTCACTCTAAAGTCAATGTGTATATGGCATTAATCAAATTTAATAAACTAGAGATTAGCCCATATCAGAGTAATCATTCGTTTCAAATTTGGATGAGAGGCAAAATGTCTCTCAAAATATTAAAATAAGGTAAAACGAGAGTAAGAGTGAACAAAGAACTACTCATTTGAAATTAGTTTAAAACTGAGATGATTACATCTTGATGCAAACGATTATTATTACATATATTAATCAAAGTAAAAGATTATTAAAAAGCTTAAGAAGCTTTGTAATCTCACCATACATTTTCAAGCTCTTTCTCACATGATTGATCACACAGTTTTGGTTTCTCTTCGGGGGGCAATCCAGCAGCTCCAACAAATGTAGAGCCACTCTCGAAACTTAGAAGTCCAACTCCTATGTTCATTAAGCTTCTGCGGTTCATCACAGCACACTCATTTTGACGCTCAATAATGTTTACTGATTGTATTGCCGCACCTATACTTATTCCGTATGATCTTTTACCATTGGTGGTATTGGTTTTGGCAAATATACAACCTACACACAAATAAATTTCAAATTGTAATGTACAACACCTCAAGTAAATCATTCCAATTCAAATATAATCACCTAGTTTATTAAGTTCCAAAACATATTGCATGAGAAGACAACTTGACATAATGTTGGATCAAGAATAGGCCTTAAGGGAATCCCATGAGAAGAGGCCTTAAGGTGACATAAAAATGAGAATGAACTGATGTGTTTCTTTAAGAACATCTCTCTCCAAGAATGACAACAATGCTAACAAAGATGAATAACGCGACAACACTTTTTTTGCTTCTGCAAAAAAAGTGAAGAATTTGAACATAAAAGACTCCCCAATCCTCTCATTAAGCAGTTAATCGGGCACTCTCTCGATACAACAATATAAAGGAAGCTTGTTATTCCATAATAGAAAATAACAAGAAACAGTCAATCAAGAAGGAAAAAGAGCACAATAGCCAGAGAAGTTGGGGCTTGAGCTAAAATTGTCAATTGGGCAAGCCAAGAGATTTGAACTCTTTTGGCCCTGTGACTATTGTGTGGTACTTTTACTACTCGACTTTCAATTTTCACTTTTGACAAGACACACCTTTTTCCCATATTTAAAAATGAAAACTTTCATTTTAGTCTTTCACCTTCTATAAAAATAACACTTTTAGTAACTTCCCTATTGAAACAATAAGTGATCCACAAAAAGGGTCACTGTGATAATAGTTAAGGACAAAAATATAACTTTTACAATTGTCAAAAAAAGTGGAAAATTCAAAGTAGTATAAAAATGTATCTGTCACAATAATATGTGTATTATAAGTGAAATAACTCAAACTCTGGTACCAAAAATTTCCACCACAATAGTGGATGAAAAAAATTGGCAAACACTAGGCGAGCAAATGACAAACAACAAGCGTTATATCAATTACAATTTACAAGAAAAAAGAAGACGATAAGGAACAAAAATTAACTAGGAATAAGTAAGCTGATCTGCAGCGAATGAAGACGTGAATAACTCAATTGTCTTACACTCTTACCTAGTGGAAGTAGCAAACACGCTGACGCCATTTTCTCCGCCTGCTATGGTAACGATTAGTCTGTTATCAGCTGCTTGCATTCAGGGCAGGTTCTGTCAGTTCCAGGGTCTAGGGCGGGTAACTTATTCTTAAAAAATTGCAAAAACCTTTTCTGTCCAAACTAAGATGCATAATGACAATCTTCAAAAACTTTATAAGAAAGAAAAGACTTATAATTAGATATGTTGAACTACACAAAGTATAATTTCTGAAAGTCAACTGCAAATAAAAATTACACCTTGAAATTAATTAAATTTACAAATTTAATAAAAATTCAATATTTTTACATAAAATTTTTAACACTAACATAAAATCAAAATTTAATTACATGACAAGTTTTAATTATAAAAAAAAAGCTAAAACACCACTATCAACACATTCACAATTTCACAAATCAAAACAATAAAAAAAACAATCAACAACTAAATAACTATTCAACTATAAACCTTAAATTGTTTAGAAAAGAGAAAAGCTGTAATTAGTTAATACGCAATAATAACTGCTTTCCTATCAACTCAAATTGTTCTTAACCTTTATTAAGGGATCAGTTAAACTTTATCCTAGGCTTTCAGAGGGAGTATGCAGTACGGAGTATTGGGAGTAATAAAGTAACAACTAAAGGAAAAAATACGGGAGAAGTGCGTACCACAGAGTAACAGTCGCTAAGTCAGAACTTGAGATAATTTGAGAAGCACCTAGCCTTACAAGTTACAACTAAAGCTGTAAATTTGAGAAGCACCTCAAAGCAATGTTCCAAACTCCCAGTACGCGGAAAACGGTCGAGCGGTCGTATCCCAGCGCTCACTGGCTGTTGGTCAGTACTCTGTTCCAAACTCACACACTCACACTCTGCGTTGGCGGTTGGTCTCCGATTTGTCATCATTCTTTACCGTTCAATTCTTCTATCTTCGTAAGGGCCAAATGGGCGGAAAAGATCCGGCTATGGGCATTCATAAAATTGGACCTAATAGACCCATTAAAAGTTGAGAAAAGGGTCAAATAAGGCTTCATACTATTATGAAATCGTCATATAAGATCGCGTACTCAATAAAGTGTCATATAAATATGTCTACTTGTAAAAAAAATCAAATAAGTCCTAACGACCTATTTACAACCTCCTAATCCCGATTTTAGTGTTCTTGAAACCATCTTTTTGTAATAGATTATACGGTACACGTCGAATATTTACCTAAGATTGGTTGAAATACAAGACAACAAAATTGACACGTAAGCTAAAATTAGGATTAAGAGGTTGTCAACGGGTCATTAGGACTCATCCAATTGTTTTTTATAAGTAGACGTATTTATATGACACTTTATTGAGTACATGACCTTATGTGACGATTTCATAATAGTAGAAGACCTTATTTGACCCTTTTCTCTTAAAAGTCTGTTTGATAATCCCGTTTTTGATGTTTTTATTTGGATTGAAATTTGTTGGTCTCGTCGGGTCTGGTAAATGTCTGATCTTTGTAATTTATAACTACGAAAGTCAAGTCTGGTCTCGTCTGTTTAAGTTTGGTTTGGTCTAATCTGGAACTGAAAACAGTCCAGGTTAAAACATCCTAAATTATCATTCAACTTTTTCACTAAACACGAAGCTTTAGATCTCACGGGCTAAATTGTGTAATACTAAGAAAAAGTAAGGTTGAAGTTATTTTTCTAGCTATATTGACTGAAGTCATTGTAGATGACCACTTTAGCAATTTTACATATGACTTTTTCTTGTTTTATTAATAAAATATATTCTGTTTTTGTTTCTTTTCATAAATCAGCAGAATTAGTCATTTAGGTCACATCAGCCAGAATTTCATAAATTTCTGCAGAACCAATCAATTCAGTTGATGGAAGCATAAGAAGTGGTTGTGTTGATGGAAGCATAAATTTCAACTGAATTGATTGAATAGGCTAATCTATCTATAAATAATACGAAGTACATTTCAAAGATACAATTTATGTAGAGGGGGTCGGATGTACGCAATTTTACCCCTATACTAAAATATAGAGACTATTTTCGGATGACCCATACTGAAAATCGCGTCGAGAATTGCATGGACTGACTGATACTACATAATAAAGAAGCGCAGACAGTTTAGCCAGTCATTTTACTTTATCCCATATATTCTCAAGCAAAAAAATAGTGAGTTTTGAGTTTTGACTCGATTGCAAATAATATGAAGGATGTGTTTCGCCCTTTTCCCCTTCGGTAAATTTCAAATGGGTACACACAGCTTTTAAATGGCATCATATCATCTCAAACCTGAAATGGGTACTAGCGGTTAGGATGCAAACAAATAGAATCAATTAGTAATGACTTCAAGTTTGGTTAGTGATATGCGCACACCCATAACAGTTAGCGTCAAATCATTAGGCAAAGATTGTGCTCGATACAGACTTGTACAACTCAGCTTGAACTCAGGTTATTCAGTTTGTTGTCAAAATACTCCGTAGTTGCTTCGTGAATAGCTCAAGCGTTGGATTGTGAGAAATTTGTTTATAATACTAAACAAGAAAAGTTTGTAGTTGGGCTCGTTAAGAACTAAAAAGAGCACAACTATTCAACCTCACTCAACTTTGAGGTGAAAATTCTAGCAAACAACACTAAAAAACTCACATCCACATAGAAAATGTTGCATCTTTGCAATGTGTGGAAGTATTGGGAGATATTTTGCATATATATTATTTAAGGATAGTTTTTATTATGGTTGGAATATTTTCTACATTTAATGTTTGTTATTTCTAGCCATGTAATACGGATGACCGACTCAATTAGATTGGCATCCACTCTTGTATTTAAACAAGGCCGATTGGCTCTCAAAAACCATGAAGCAATATTACTCTTAAACTCTTCTTCCTAATTTTCCTAACCTGCGTATTACACGAAGTTAATATGGTATCAGAGCAGCTGCGTTAATCGATCGATATTTGTCGATCATTCGCAGGGATGCCGACGGAAGAAGAAGGATCTGCGCCCACACCAAAATTCGACTATACCTCCCCATTTTTCTTGGGACCTCAGGATCGACCGGGTGACTTCATCACTCCGGTTCGTCTCACACAAAATAATTACGAGGAATGGTCGAACGCTGTGCGATTGGCTCTACGAGCCCGACGGAAATACGTTTTCGTCGACGGAACAATTAAAGCACCAGTACCTCCTTGCACCGAGGACGATTGGCTTACGCTTCACTCTATGATCATCTCTTGGCTGTTAAACGTGATATCTCCGGACGTTAAACAGACCCTTTCGCACTACGAGGATCCTCGGCGACTGTGGAACGATCTGAAGGAAAAGGGGCTGGACGAGGAGTTAAGCAGGATAAATCCGGATTGCAGTGTTCTTATTGTAAGTTTTCTGGACATGATGTAACTGCTTGCTTCGAGTTACACGGTTACCCGGACTGGTGGGGTGACCGACCCAGGCTTGGCATCAAAGGTGCAGGGCGTAGTCGTTCAAATACCTCAGGCCTTCCGAGCAATCCTGGAGTGTCTCGTGGCAGATCGATGGCAAAAGCACATGCTGCGGTTGCAGCTGAACCTGCGGGCAAAACACTGCAGTAGGGTGAAAGTAGTGGCGGGCAGTCCACTCCCCTGCCAGGTTTCACGCCGGAACAGTGGAGCTCCTTGGTTTCCTTGTTTGGTAACTCACTTCCTACTAATGATCGCATGGTCGGTACGTTTAATAATAGTGCTTGGATTATTGATACAGGTGCTACAAATCACGTTTGTGGTAATCAATCCTTGTTATGCAATATTAAAACGGTTGATCCGTGTACTGTTGGCCTCCCCGATGGACAAACTGTTTTGGCCACCCTAGAAGGGAGCGTGCGTTTTGCGAATGATTTATATTTAACTAATGTGCTCTTTGTTCCAAAGTTGCAATGTAATCTCGTATCTGTATCACAATTGTGTGATACACTTGATTGTTTCGTCCAATTCACTAGTAATTTATGCGTTATACAGGACCGTCCCTCGAGGAGGCTGATTGGAACGGGTGAACGGCGGAATGGACTGTACTACTTGAGGGAGGAACCGATGGCACAAGTTCTAGCAGTCAACGAATCAAAGAATGTGGAAGCAGAATTGTGGCATCAGCGGTTGGGACATGCATCTTCTCAAGTAGTTGAAAAAGTGGCCCCCGTAAGTGGTTTGAAGAATTTTGGAAATTTTCCGTGTGATATTTGTTTTAGAGCTAAACAGACTAGGGACCCCTTTCCTACTAGTTTGAATAATACTCGTGATATTTTTGAGATGGTGCATTGTGATTTGTGGGGTCCATATAAAACCCCGTCTTCGTGTGGTGCTAGACATTTTTTGACAATTGTTGACGATTATTCCCGTGCTGTTTGGGTTTATCTGCTTATTGATAAAAAGGAAGTTTTGAAAATGTTTCTCTCTTTTGTTGCTATGGTGGATCGCCAATTTTCTAAGAAAATTATGCGTGTGAGAAGTGACAATGGGACCGAATTTAATTGTTTAAAAGAATTCTTCCGCACTAGTGGTATTATTTTTCAGACTTCTTGCGTTGGCACACCTCAACAAAATGGACGTGTTGAACGTAAGCATCGACATATTTTGAATGTGGCTCGCGCATTGCGGTTTCAAGGAAAATTGCGTATCTCTTTTTGGGGGGAGTGTGTATTGACCGCCGCATATATTATTAATCGCACTCCTTCTGCGATCCATGCTTATAAAACTCCTTACGAATTGTTGTTTGGAGCTTCCCCGTGTTATAAATCGCTCCGAGTTTTTGGATGTTTGTGTTATGCTTTTAATCTTAAGTCCAAAGGAGACAAATTTATTAGTCGGAGCCGAAAATGTGTGTTTGTTGGTTATGTCTTTGGAAAGAAAGGGTGGCTTGTATTTGATCTAGAGACTCAAGAATATTTTGTGTCTCGCGATGTCAAATTCTTTGAACAAATATTTCCGTTTGCATCTGCCTCAGTTGTTGAGGATGTCCCTCACCCGCCGACGGAGCCCCAGCCGCCCGATTTGCCTATGGATTACACTGATCCATTCTCCTTTGGATTTCCTACACTCGATGTAATTTCCCCATCAACTCAGGAGAATAAAACGCCACAGTTAGTTGGACCTACTGATGATGACTCCAGTACCACGATGGACGCACAGATTATTTCCCAGCAGCAGTCCGATGTTATCTTGGGACGTGGTCAACGTACACGCACCCCCTCGGTTCGCCTCAGAGACTATGTCACGCACACCATCATTAAACACAGTCCATTCCCCGCTCTTCCCGCTTCGTCATCCTCTTCAGGTACGCCGTTCCCTATATCTCACTATATTACTTGTGATTCATTTTCTTCGAAACATCAAGCTTACTTGGAAGCTCTTAATTCCGTTACGGAGCCATGCTCCTTTAATGATGCTGTTAAACATGATGGATGGCGTGATGCTATGCGTGCCGAGATTCAAGCTCTTGAAAATAATTCCACCTGGAGCCTTGTTCCTTTGCCTCCCGGCAAACGTGCCTTGGGTTGTCGGTGAGTTTATAAAGTGAAACACAAATCTGACGGCACAGTTGAGCGTCTCAAAGCTCGCCTTGTTATTTTTGGGAATAGGCAGGTTGCTGGCCTTGATTATACAGAAACATTTGCTCCTGTTGCTAAAATGGTGACAGTGCGCGCTTTCCTGGCTATAGCCGCTACTAAACATTGGGAACTACATCAAATGGATGTTCACAATGCTTTTCTACATGGTGACTTACATGAGGAGGTCTATATGACTATTCCCCCAGGCTACAAAACTGCTGATTCCGGACTGGTCTGTCGTCTTCATAAATCCTTATATGGCCTCAAACAGGCTCCGCGATGTTGGTTCGCGAAATTGGTAACGGCTCTCAAGAGTTATGGTTTTCTTCAGTCTTATGCGGATTATTCCTTATTTACTCTTACTCGGGGGGCGGTTCAGCTTAATGTTCTTGTTTATGTGGACGATCTTCTTATCTCTGGCAATGATGGTGTTGCTATTACTACTTTTAAATCATATCTTAATGATTGTTTTCACATGAAGGATTTGGGCCCTCTCAAGTATTTCTTGGGCATCGAAGTGGCTCGTAGCTCGACTGGAATTTTTCTTAACCAGCGAAAATACGCCCTGGACATTATCACTGAAACAGGTCTTCTGGGAGCAAAACCTGCTTCTTTTCCCATCGAGCAGCATCATACCTTGGCCACCGCTACTGGTCCACCTCTTGAGGATCCTGAACAGTATCGTCGTCTTGTTGGACGACTTATTTACTTGGCTGTCACTCGTCCTGACATCACCTACTCAGTACACATTCTCTCTCAATTCATGCAACAACCCCTCACTGACCATTGGCATGCTGCCTTGCGAGTTGTTCGCTATCTGAAAGGTTCGCCTGGCCAAGGGATTCTTCTTCGTGCTGATAGTGATCTTTCTCTTACTCGTTGGTGTGATTCTGATTGGGCAGCTTGCCCGACTACCCGTAGATCACTCTCTGGCTGGCTTGTTTTTCTTGGTCACTCACCCATCTCCTGGAAAACCAAGAAACAATCCACTGTTGCTCGTTCTTCCGCTGAAGCTGAATACCGCTCTATGGCAGCAGCCACTTGTGAATTAAAATGGCTAAAAGCTCTTCTTCTGAGTCTTGGAGTTCAACACCCTCAGGCTATTCCTCTCTATTGTGATAGTCAATCTGCTCTTCACATAGCTCAAAATCCTGTGTTTCACGAGCGTACCAAACATATCGAGGTTGACTGTCACTTTGTTCGTGATGCTGTTCAAGCCGAGATCATTGCTCCCAATTACGTTCCTACTACCATTCAACTGGCAGATATATTTACTAAAGCTCTTGGCAAGACTCAGTTTCAGACTCTCCTACACAAGTTGGGCATTCTGAATCCCCATGCTCCAACTTGAGGGGGGGTATTGGGAGATATTTTGCATATATATTATTTAAGGATAGTTTTTATTATGGTTGGAATATTTTCTACATTTAATGTTTGTTATTTCTAGCCATGTAATACGGATGACCGACTCAATTAGATTGGCATCCACTCTTGTATTTAAACAAGGCCGATTGGCTCTCAAAAACCATGAAGCAATATTACTCTTAAACTCTTCTTCCTAATTTTCCTAACCTGCGTATTACACGAAGTTAATAGGAAGTCGTAATGGAGTGCAATGGAATCAATTGGCAGGTATTTTAGAATACATCTTACTACAAATTGATTTCAGTACATGTACATTTTATTTCAACTTAGGAAATGTTACCTTAGCTCATTGATTTCAGGATCACTTGGTTAATTTAATTATTAAAATTTATTAATTACATATACACTATTAAACAAAGCAAGCTGGAACTTACTACCAAACTGATTAACGAACTTGCATATATATAGCATTATTGACAAACCAATGCCCTAAATAGTTCATGAATGACTTGGTAGGTTGTCCATTATAACCGGATGGCCTTTTGTTATGTTTCTTTAGTTCTCTTTTCTTAGTTGTCATGACTTGACAAATTTCATTTATCAACATATAGGAGGAGAAATTAAAAAGCAGAGCTGTTGGGAGCTTATTCCGGAGGAATTAGAAGTAGTTTGGACCAGTTCCGGAAATTGGTTGCAGTGTGGAACTGGAAATGGGCAACTAGTTTCTGAGACGGAAGCACACTTTTCATCACAGAAAGTATCAGATACAAAGGGAGTGTTTGCTAAAACTAAAAAAAATGTTTTTCAGTTTTTGGCTTTAAAAAGATCAAATGAGGTTTTCAAATGATAGCTTCTACTGAAATGAAGCATTTAAAAGCTACAAGCTCGAAGCAGGTTAACTGCTTTTCAAAAGGTACATCGATATGACTTAACACTAGAGCACATCGTCTAGGGTGAGGATTTCCACCGTCATCTTGTTTGAGCAGATCGTCTTCTTCAGCACCTTTCGGGCTTCTCTCTAAGGTTACTAGCAGCCAGAGCTTTTCTTCTGCTATCGACAATTGTCGAGGAGCAGTTTTGGATTATGTGTGTCTTTGAGGCATCGTTTCAGACTATTTCCTTGTTTTCTTCGTGTCTTTCTTACATCGATCCAAGATTGTTCTAAATATGAGGGAGCCAAGGGAGGGAGAAATGGAGGCGTCCAGAGGGGCTGAAATTGCAGGGCATACGGAGGTTGCTCGTCAAGGTATCAGTCGAGCGACGGGCGGGAGCCGTGCCTTGTTCGTGTCAACAATCATTGAGATGGTCCGGCCTCCTCTTGAACCACCGCCAGGGTCTGAACAAGGTGCTAGGGTTCAAGATATTTATTTTTCTTATTTAGCTGTTTTCATGTTTCGCCCTCCTCCTATTAGTTTTTATTATTTTGTCATTTGGTTTCTTGTTATCATTTATGTTGTTAGGTTTGTCAGTTTGAGAATTTAACCTTTTTTTAATGTCATTGGGTATGTTTGGATCTATGGGAACAGAGATGACTGTGTCAAGCCTGCTGTGTCAAGCAATTCATGTTGCTCTTTCAGGGGGGTGTCTCTAAGTCTGATCATAGGGTTTACAGTCGTAGTTGTTGGAGTTTAGTTGGTGTCGGATTTGCTTTTCTTTTGATTGATGTAATGATCCCGAAACTTATGATATGAATAGCGGCAAGTTTCTGTTAAAAAAAGCACTTTTTCTCGAACACCATCAACTTTTACAGTTAAGTACTTTCTTCAAAATCACTGTAAAAAAATCATTTTTTGAAGTAGAGCAATCACAAACACTCCCAAAGATCAAGATAATGGGATTAGTCATCAAACAAGAAGCTAATATTGAAAACGTTTGAGCATTTGCCTAGGTGGAGACGAGGAGTAACAGATCTGCAGATGCTATTTTGTTTTCTCAGGGCAATCATGCCATTTATATGGATAACGACGTAAATCTCTAGTTTCAAAACGTTGGCTTTAAAATGACTATATGCACGGACATATTTATTTACTCATGAAGATGATAGGCAAGGTTAAGTATCTTGTAGCAAGACTTTATCCATGCCCGACTACAGAAGAGCTTAACTTTTCAAAAGATAATCATTATTCCTGGCTCCTGCCCACCCTCATGAAGTAGGTAAGTAGGTGGAGATGCTTTAGTTTCTATTCTATTACAATCTGTAGATTCAGGACATGTATAATATAAACATTCCAATTGCATATTTGCATGCAAGCGGGTGTGGTGTGCTATTGATGCTCCCTATTTTCGTATAATCAAGCCGAATCATAATCTGTGGTTGAGTCTGCAGCAGCTTCCCTGAGTGAGTTCAAATGATTCGTCGACAGCTCTCGCCGATACTGCTGAACCACAAGAACGGATGCTGTTGTTGAGTAGTCTGGAAAGGTCAACAAATTCCCTACAGGTCCTAATTCCGGGCATTCCCCACCCTTCAACGACGACACTATTTGCCCCTCCGGCATTCGCCCAACCACAAATAGGTTGCACCCACGATTCAACTCTCGGACCGCTTCAGTTACCCCCCCTCCACTCCTAACCACCACTTCTTCATATTTCACAGAGGAATTTTTCAGGATTCTCTGCTTGAAGTCGTTAAAGTAGGCTTCATCATCATCTTCTGTTTTTTCCGGCACATTGGACCCCACATGAACGGTCACGCTCTTTCCCACGACCTCTGGGTCAATGACAAAACGGGTGACTCGCAAGCTGATCCCAGGGTGCTCAGCCATTCTCTCCCCATATGCAAGAGCTTCGCGGTCATCGTGGCCTCCAAAGTAGAGGACGGTGATCGAGTAATCCACATTGCTAGCTGACACATGTGATGTCCCGCCAAGTCCTCGGTCGACCAGGATGCCAACAGAGCACGGAGCGTACTGGAGGACCCGCCGATTCACGTGGCGGAACTCAGTGCGGGTCGTCTCGAGATGCCCGTCGTATCTTTGGTGTTTGTGGAAAGGGAGAATGATCATGGTCACCCTCTCCTGATTGGCACAGCTCGTGATGTCCTCATGCATGCTGGAAAGCGCGGAGATGGCCGTTGTCGGGCGGATTGAAACCTTGCTGAGCTGCCCAAACGTCTCAAAAGCAACGATTAGTTGGTCAGCCGAGTGATGGATGGGGCTGCTCGCTGTTTCCTTGTTCCAGAAGGGGAGCCCATTCTTCCTCGCTTTGTGGCACATTAGGATAGCAGAAGGCCTCTCTGAGAGTTCCACCAGGTGCATCGCGTATACCCGGATTTCTCTCTTCTCGGTCCCACGAGAAGCCTCGATGAGATTAATCAGTGAGGAGATGTTCTCTTTGCCGTGGAAGCATGCCAAGATTCTTAATCTCTTTTTGTTGCTTGGGTCCTTTGTTTGTATGGTTCTGTGTTTGTATTCTGTCACAGCCATTTTTGCCGGTTTGTATGTCGCAATAACCAACGGTGTTGTGATGAAGGTAGTAAAGAGAGCCATCAACACCATAATGGCAAATGTTTGATCATTTAGAACCTGCAAAATTAAAGTTCAACAGTAAGGCTCAGAATGAGTGAATCTGAGAAAGTGAGGAAGTACTGATTTAAAGTTTTTCAAAAAGGGATAAAAAATGGCAGAATCTCCTAAAGTTGTTGTTTCAGGCAATAATAATAATCATTGCCATTACCTATTTCATTATCAATCAATTGAGAACAAGTAATAACAACAGTTAGAGAGAATAAGTAGACTTTGGCTAACTTCTCTATGGCTACTAAAATGAATTTTTCAGGAGAAATAGGCGTAATCAGCCTTATTGGCTAAATAACACCCAAAAGACTCAGGAATCATATTTAGTAATTGGCTGAAAGCTAACTTAAAAAGTTATTTACCAAACGTTTAATTGAGCTGGTCAACTCGGAAAAAATTGGTCAAACCAGATAATTGGCTGATAAAATGTACATAGTATCTTAGAAAAAGTCAAAATGAATGTCTACAAAATTAAAAAGAGGCTCAAAGAGGAAGCATACCCCTCTATCTTTTCCAATGTTAAGGACAATGAGCTCCACTAAACCTTTAGTGTTCATCAAGAAACCGAGACTGACAGCCTCGGTGAAAGGAACCTTGCACAACAGTGAGGCCAAAATGGTACCAAAAATCTTTCCAAAGCATGCTGTTACAATGACCAAAGCCAGAAGACCCCATGACTGGGCACCTTGGATGGTGGCGACATTCGTCTTCAATCCACTCGAAACGAAGTACAATGGGAGGAACAGCCCGGACACCACATCTTCAACTTTTTCAACCAAGGCACCCGCAAGTGGCCCTTCTTTGGGAACCAGAACCCCAAGCACGAAAGCTCCAAACAAGGCATGAATTCCAATCGTGTCAGTAACAAATCCGGCTGCTAGCACAGCTGCCAGCGTGGCACACACATGTAACTCCTTGACTTGCTCCCCCTCAGAGACGCCACGGGCCATCCATCTGAATATAGGAGGGGCGACCAATATGCAGAAGAGCACAAATCCGCTCCCACACAATAACACCCACAGCGAGGTCAGTGGAGAGTTGTTGCCCGAACTGGAAAGGGCAATGGCAAGGGCAAGTAGGATCCAAGCTGCCACGTCATTAACTGCGGCCGCTGACATGGCCATTTGCCCAACGTCTGTGGTTAAGAGCTTGAGTTCTGCCAGGATACGTGCCAACACTGGGAAAGCGGTGATTGAAAGGGCCACTCCCATGAAGACCAGAAACGGACCCTGCTTCACTCCTTGAGCCACCGTTGATCTTAGCACAAATGACGTCCCTACCCCTAACAAGAAAGGGAGACTGATCCCAGCAAGGGCAATGCTCAACGCTTTCTTTCCTGTTCGGCGCAGAGACTTCGGATCAAGCTCAAGACCAACAAGGAACAGAAAGAAGAGAAGGCCAAGATTGGCCAGGGTATCCAACACTGTTAGGCTTCTAGGAGGGAATATGGAATTCAGATAGTTTTTGTTCCTGCCTAAAGCAGATGGACCAAGCAGAACCCCTCCCTAGCCAACAAAAACAAAAAGAAGAAATGTCATTACTAAAGTAGGAGCAGGTAAATTATACTTAATCAAGACTCGTGTTTTTCAAGATGATCTTCCAACATCATAGTGTCTTGTTGAACATACCTATCTTGAAGTTAACTACTTTTACCAGTATAACAACACAACACAGAAGCATATGTAAGATCCTGAACAACCTTTTCCTATCATGTTACACTTTTAGTATAAAAATACCAAGTTACGGCATCAGAATCAATTAATCTCCCATACCCCGGACATATACAAAATAATTCTTGAATCTTAAGGGTCTATTTGGCCCATTTATACACCCGATATTGTGAGCGTGTTGAAGTATTTGTCCCACATCGGAAAGCTATAAAAACAATAAAATACTAACTTTGGGCTACTCATGTTATACCTTTTGGGATGGAACCTCGAGTCTTATATCTCAGTATAGTTGTGGTTTGATTGCTTGTTTAGCATAGTTTGTTAATGGATTGTTTAGTCCATTTATACACTCGATATTGTTTAGCCCAGTTCGGACAGTGGGAACACCAGAAAACTATAAAAACAATAAAATACTATAACTACTCCGATGGAACCCGAGTCTTAACAAACTTACCTCGTGTTGTAAGCATTAATAATTACCAATTTCATCGTAAAAAGGCATAACATTTGAGTTGTTTAATCCTTATTCGTGATTCATATGGTTGTATTTGGGTTAATGACATTACATAAATGAGGTTCCAGAGAAAGATATTAGCAGGGAATGAAGAACTTACAATGATCTCAGCAATGACGCGGGGCTGCCGGAGGGGGCGAAGAAGATAGGCGAGTGTTCGAGTGAGGGCGACGACCAAGCATATCTGCACGATAAGCAGAGGAAGGGCGTAATCCAGAGGATTGTCTCCTTGAAATGATCCATTCGATGTAGCTTTCATGGGAGACGGACATGTCTTTGTACCGTTTGTCGCCATCTCTTTTTTTCGACCTGACCCACGTTTTTTACCACCTGAAATCGGATGGATTCTTTTAGGGCAGATATGGATTCATATTAAACACATTTAAAACTGTGTGGGATTGAGGAATATTTATAAGCATCCCATAATTGGATAGATTCGATAATGAACTGACACCGACCTCTTGCTCCGAATTATCTTGTATTGCATTGACTAATTGGTGCTGTATTTTTATTTATTTATTGAATAAACGCACGTAGTATGTGATTAGAAACTCATCCGTCAGAGATGAGGTGTAATTTTTTTGTTAAGAAGGTTTCAATCAGATTTATTCTGGAATTCTCTTTAAATTAACATTTTTTGTTAATCAAGAATAAAGTTAAACCCCATGTCTATTGATAATTAATTCAATTTTAATAATTAAAATTTACATATTAAGAAACTACATTAAAATCTCTATAAAGTTGCAAAATCCAAATTAAAAATTAATTAATATTTGATATCCTAATTAAGTGAATATATAAATATGTTAAGCCCAAAAAAATTAATTTCGCAACTCAATTTGGGACATAAGGAGTACTATGTAATATATTTTCATACATCTAAATGTTCCTAGGTAATTGTGTATCATGAATAATACCATGTAAATGATCATTTCTTGAGAAAATAAATCTTTTTGGTTTAGATGCCTTTACTTAGAGCATCCACATTCATCCTACTCAAT